TCTGGGTCACGTGACCTTGACAACAGTGTGTAAACAGATTATTTTGTACAGTGGAAAGTAATCGTCCAGGAAATATATTGTGATTGCTGTCACAATGAACATGGTGGTGACACTACACAGAGCCATGGGTTCTCTACCTTACAGCCATGTAACATGTTAGCTTTAATATCACTGAAAGATGAACTCCGGGAAAAACATAGTTTTGCACATTTGCTATGCATCAATAAATGAACCCGAATGCTGGTTTTACTCCCACTGACATCAGTGATATAGGGCTTATTTTCCTACCCCTGGCACCAATTAAATGAGGTGTATTTTATCCTGCCGTCACCATGACAGCGCTTGTTTTTCTCCTACTGCCTCCAACTTTATGGAACTTATTTAACCCCCACTGACACCCATAATTCAGATTTTTTTTCTCCCAGTAATACCAAGGTAAAAGGCAGTACATTAGATACTCCTGATCGCTGTGTGTCACATACTCCTGACCACTACACTCTTTATATTATGTTATACTTTATATACTTCTAATTGCTGCACTTTGTATGTTATGTTGTACTTTACATATGTTCCAACTACTGCAGCCTGAATTTTATGTAGTACTTTATATACGTTTGATTGCTGCACTCTGAATGTTTTACTTTACACACTTCTGATAACTGAAATCTGTATAGTATAATGCCCTCTACATTCTTCTAATCCCTGCTCTCTGCATGCTATATATTGCAATGTATATTTTTTCTGACCACTATACTTTCTATGTTTTGTTGTACTTTATATTCTATTGACTATGCACTCTGTATGTTAGCTGTATTGTCTAATCGTTGCACATTATATGTTATGTTTTTCTTTACACACTTCTGACCACTATACTCTGTATGTTAAATTATACTTTACATACTTCTGCACTTTGTATAGTATATTATAGTGTATATTCTTCTGACCACTGCACTCTGCAGATATTATGGTACTTTACACTCTTCTTACCGCTGGACTGTGTGTGGTATGTTGTTCCTTAAATACTTCTGACCACTGCACTCTGTATGTTATGTTGTACTTTACATGCTTCTGACCACTGCACTCTGTATGTTATGTTGTACTTTACATGCTTCTGACCACTGCACTCTGTATGTTATGTTGTACTTTACATACTTCTGACCACTGCACTCTGTATGTTATGTTGTACTTTACATGCTTCTGACCACTGCACTCTGTATGTTATGTTGTACTTTACATGCTTCTGACCACTGCACTCTGTATGTTATGTTGTACTTTACATGCTTCTGACCACTGCACTCTGTATGTTATGTTGTTACTTTACTGCTTCTGACCACTGCACTCTGTATGTTATGTTGTACTTTACATGCTTCTGACCACTGCACTCTGTATGTTATGTTGCACTTTGCATACCTCTGCCCACTGCACTCTGTATGTTATGTTGCACTTTGCATACCTCTGACCACTGCACTCTGTATGTCATGTATGTTATGTTGTATTTTACACTCTTCTGACTTCTGCAGGTTCTGCTGTACTTTGCAGGTACTTATATAGCACTGTCAGTTTTATATATATATATATATATATATATATATATATATATATATATATATATATGAACACATATATATATTAAATTCACATCAATCTAAAGTCATACATACATATATTAGGGGCAATTTAGACAGGAACCAATTAACCTCTCAGCATGTCTTTGAGGTGATAGAAAAGATAATAATAATGATAATAATAATACCAATACTACATAGTATAGTGACAGTCGTGTGTATATATTTCTGTGTCTTGCAGGGTGTCAGCAGTGACAGCTCCCATGTGACAGGGGATAGTGACAGCAGGCGGGGGGGCGGAGTCAGTCCGGGGATGGGATCACTCAGCCAGGAAGGTGCCCGGGATCTCCAGTGCCCGCTGCCCTCCGTCCTGCGCTCAGCTCGGCTGTCCCACCACCGCTGGAGGACCCAGCCGGGGCAGAGCGGAGCCCGCAGATGAGAGTGCGCCATGCTGACCGCCGGGCTCCTTCCCCTGCCCCGGGCCACCGCGCTGATCCTACTGCTGGGAGCCGCTACACTCTGCACAGGTACCGGGCCACCCCGACCTGCCCCCCCCCCCCCCCACACTCTGTCCTCCGCTACTTCCAAAACTTCACCCCCCTCCTCTGTGTCCGGAACTCAGGAGGACCCCCCAGTGCGGTCCCGGTCCTCCGGGGTCACCCATCTCTAATAACACTTATATAACCACCACACTCATTCCTACAGACCGAGACTTCATCCCCATACACTGTTCGTCTACTCTCCTGGGAGTATCGTCTGTCTGTCTATCCCTTCTATCCCTTCTATCCCTTCTATCCATGATCTATCCTCTGTTACTCATCGATCCCTGTCTATTATATATTCAATGTAATATCTATCTATGGTCACCATTTCTCTATGTATCTATCTCTCTCTCTCTCTCTCTCTCTCTCTCTCTCTCTCTCTCTCTCTCTCTCTCTCTCTCTCTCTCTCTCTCTCTCTCTCTCGCTCCTTCCTTCTTTTTTCTATCTATCTATCTATCTATCTATCTATCTATCTATCTATCTATCTATCTATCTATCTATCTATCTATCTATCTATCTATCTTATCTATCTATCTATCTATCTATCTATCTATCTATCTATCTATCTATCTATCTATCTATCTATCTATCTATCGTCCTCTTTCATTTATCTATTGTGATCTTTCTTTCCTTTCCTTTCCCTTCCTTTCCCTTCCCTTTTCTTTTCTTTCTCAATGTATCAAAATATTTCCCCCAACTGTTGATATACTATTGATTGTTAACAACATAAATGCTACTTTTTTTGTAGATCGGTGGAAATGATGTCAAGTTGTTTTTTTTTTACCTTATTGAACCCTCCCACTCGCCAACTGTATTTAAAAGAAAGATTTGTCTTTTTGCTGCTTGTAACTTCCGGGGTTATATTTTAAGTCTATATGTACACGAGCCGCTCCTAAACTCGAGTTTAGGAACTTTTGGCATTTTTTTTGCTAAAGCTCCTAAACTCGACTCCATAAAACCTGTGTGTCCATGTACACGTAGGCTTTTAGCAGAATTTAGGAGTTGCGTTTAGGTGAGGTTAAATCTCAGGAACGTTTTGACCGGCGACTGCAGGAAAACTCAAAACGCAGTACCGCAGTTGCCGTGTTTTGCCACGATTTGCATTTTCCTGCGGCCGGTGGTCAGGGTAGTCTCGTGTACATGAAGCCTAACACACATATGTGCTGTCGATTTTTTTCAAACTGTATACGGAAATTGATCGTTTTGGCTCAAAAAATCCAACATAACAATTCGTCTTTTTGCCATAAAGGTATGCATTTCGATATTTGAAATGAGCTGAAAGAGCTGAAAGTTGAAAGATCAGGTGTACCGAATGCTTTTTGAACGAATTTCTAACCATGTATGGCCAGTATATGTGCTGTATTAATTAGGGGTCCATAGTTGTCAGTGGACCTCTGAAGTATCATTGTGTGTAATGGACTTAAAGGTCACCAGGAAAGTTTCTGTGGATTTGATTTCAGCAATGTTGGCAGCTATGCGGATCGATGTAGTAAATTGCACTCTGTAGTGAACTTTATGATAACATCAAAGTGAAGTAGATTCTAATTCACGTGGAATGTGTACAACTTGTGAATGGGGACGAGTAGAATGTCAGACTCTCTTCATCTGTATCTGTGGTTTATGATGAATGATGATTGGTAGATCAACGTGTGACTCCGATCTCTCCGATAGACCCTCCATAACCCCAGATAGATGGGATTAGTAAACATTCTTACCTCTCACAGAGGAAGGAACATGTTGGTCACATAGCGGATAGAACTCCATGTAACCTTTGTCAGAGATCACAGTTCAAAGGCAGTTCATTATCATTTCCACCACTTTATCATTTAAATAAATCTGATGAACATTAGATGTACCTTCAACTCGCTATCTGTCCTCTGAGCTCTTTATACCCAGCACATGTTATTGATCGCTCTATTATCTATCAGCATAGGCATTCTTTGAAATGTTATTTGGTATTGTGTACTTATACGATTGCAGATCACATTCCTGCAGTTAATATGTACAAAGCAGATATGTGATTACGGTGTAATTCGGGTGTTATGATACTTTTCCACAATATTGCTTTTAAATGGTGTTATGATGCTGACAATTGACCTCACTCAGTTCTCGGTGTCCATAAATGTGAAAGTGAGTTATGATACAGGAATTCCGTTACTTTCAGGTAATTTCTGTTACAATGAAACTAACTTGTCATGAATGGGTTGTTCAGAATTTCAGGCTGACAGATGATCTGTTTGAAAAATGGACAGCTGTGACTGGTGTTTGTATGGGTCTCTTGTGTGATGGCTTCTGTTGTCACCCATGTCACATGTGTGTTGGCGGTGGGTACTCTTATCTGTCACAGGTGATAGCCAGTTCTGCTGTGGATCAAGATGGGCACCCCTGTCTGTCCACGTATGGGTATCATCAGGTGAGCCATTAGAGTAGACTTTCTCAAGCAGGGTTCTTCCAGAGGTTGCCAATGACAGGGGCATTCTTCTTACTGACCAACAATGTAGGAACATTCTTCCCACTGATCACCAATAAAGGAACATTCTTCCCACTGACCACCAATATAAGGAACATTCTTCCCACTCACCACCAACATAAGGAACGTTCTTCCCACTCACCACCAATATAAGGAACATTCTTCCCACTGACCACCAATATAAGGAACATTCTTCTCAGTGACCACCAATATAAGGAACATTCTTCCCACTGACCACCAATATAAGGAACATTCTTCTCACTGACCACCAATAAAAGGAACATTCTTCCCACTCACCACCAACATAAGGAACGTTCTTCCCACTGACCACCAATATAAGGAACATTCTTCTCACTGACCACCAATATAAGGAACATTCTTCCCACTGATCACCAATAAAGGAACATTCTTCCCACTGACCACCAACATAAGGAACGTTCTTCCCACTCACCACCAATATAAGGAACATTCTTCCCACTGACCACCAATATAAGGAACATTCTTCTCACTGACCATCAATATAAGGAACATTCTTCTCACTGACCACCAATATAAGGAACATTCTTCTCACTGACCACCAATATAAGGAACGTTCTTCCCACTGACCACCAATATAAGGAACATTCTTTCCACTAACCACCAATGTAAGGGGCATTTTTCCACTGATCACCAATATAAGGAACATTCTTTCCACTAACCACCAATGTAAGAGGCATTTTTCTCGCTGACCACCAATGAAAGGGACATTCTTCATATTGGCCACTACTGTAAGGAGCATTCTTCTCCCTGACCACCAATGTAAGGGGCATTCTTCCCAGTGAACACTAATGTAAGGAACATTCTTCCTACTGACCACCAACATAAGGGGCATTCTTCCCACTAAACACTAATGTAAGGAGCATTCTTCCCACTGATCACCAATATAAGGAACATTCTTTGCACTGACCACCAATGAAAGGGACATTCTTCCCACTGACGAGCATTATAAATGAAAGGGGCATTTTTCAAACTGACCACTAATGAAAGGGGCATTTTTCTCACTGACCACCAATGAAAGTGGCATTCTTCATACTGACCACTAATGTAAGGGGAATTTTTCTCACTGACCACCAATGAAAGGGGCATTCTTCATACTGACCACTAATGTAAGGGGCATTATTCCCATTGACCAGCAATATAAGGAGCATTCTTCCCACTGACCACCAATGTTAGGCAGCATTTTCCCATTGCCCATCAGCAATCATGTGACCACCATCACAGTGGTTACATAATCATAAGACGGTCCCACCGGCTGCTGATCTGTAGTCTTGACCAAGATCTGTCTTTGACAGCTCAGCCTTTGTGCTCTGGAGCATGCAGTGAGTGCGTCCTCAGCACATAAACATCAGATATGTGCGGCATGTGGCTGTTACAGCCCACTCTTTTGCCATTGCACATATGTGTTAGGTGGTAATAAAAGGGTTAAACACTGTCTCTAGCCAAAACTTTTTTTCTTGAGTTGGAATAGTTAGAACCCATGTTAGGATTCTTTTGTGGTCTGTTTCCCCATAGGGAGATTTCCCTTGACTTTTTGTCCTGTGACAGCATGACAGGGATCCAAGAGTCATCTAAACTATTCCGCTCTGCTGATGCTCCACGTAATTCTGCTCCGCTACACTGACATTGTCTTCTAGGTGTTAAATTGTTGCAATACCTTCTAAGTGAGTGGAAGCAATTGGTGACCTTTCATGCGAATGGACCATGTCTTGCTTCGTTTTTTGGATACAATTCTTGATGGGACTAATAAATTAAAGTGACACTTTATAGTCCTTATTATCATCATTTCTAACCCCTTCTTCTTTTCAGGATCAGGCCACCATTTTTTTTCTCTCTCTCCTTCTTCTTGTCCGTACATTCTCCTTCCTTTTATGCTTACCACATTTTGCAAAATCGGTTAGGCATTGGAAATTGACTTTTAGCTAGTAGCAAGTCTTGGAGGGTCATGTACCATCAGACTTTATATTTTATTCTCTGTCCTTGCACAATTTCCCATCCTATATTCCAGGGGTCACTAGCCTTTTGTCAACACTGTATTCATTGGGTGTGTCTAATTGGTGCATGTGCATTCCTCAGCTGCGTCTGAGTTTCTCCGTAATGTGTCTTGGGTTGTCCGCCTTTTCCTTTTCTTAAATAAAACATTAAAATAGTTCTTACTCTTCAAAAATAATCCAGTGTACATTATTTATGATCATGTGCACTGCTCTATGCATGCAAAAAAAATGTAGTCCATAGTCCTTATTCGATCTTGGGAGCAAGCAAAAGAAAGTGGCTACACTGCTACATACAGTGGGACCATAGAAAATGAATGTAGCCACCCTCTAAGAGGAAGTCAGATCACAGTAACAAAAACAAGGAATTTAGAGATTTGGAGGAGACTGAGAGCAACAGAAGGGACTTTTTTAATTTAAGAATATATACTTGAATACATTTTTTCCTTAACCAGATTGTAGTGTCATTTTAATTTAATCTTACGGTCATGTCCCTCCATTTCTGTCTGATAACACACCACTTCACCCAGAAATTTGTTGCAATTATAAATGTTTAGGCATTCTCATGTTTATTTCTTTTGTTTGTATTGGTATGATGCAAAAATGTGGAGAAACAAAAGCCAAATCTGGCACATTCCACACAAAACCCCAAAAAACTGGACTGGACAAAATTATTGCCACATTCAATTTAATATTTGCTAGCACACCCCGTGGAAAAAATAACTGAAATCAATTGCTTCCTGTAACCATCAATGAGCTTCTTACACCGCTCTACTGGAATCATGGACCACTCTTCTTTTGCCATCTACTCCAGGTCTCTCAGAGTGGAAGGGTTCCTTTTCCCTACTGCTGTTTTTGAGATCTCTCCACAGGTGCTCTATGGGACTGAGATCTGGACTCATTGCTGGCCAGTTCAGTACTCTCCAGGGCTTTGTCTGAAACCTTTTCTGGTGTTTTTTTGATGTGTGCTTTGGGTCATTGTCTTGCTGTAAGACTCATGACCTCTAACAGAGACTCACATTTCTGAAATTGGGCCCTGCATTGCACCCCAGAATTCTTGGTAGTCTTTAGATTTCATAATGCTATGCACACGGTCAAGACATCCAGTGCCTGAAGCAGCAAAACAACCCCAATACTTCAGTGAACCTCCACCATGTTTGACTGTAGGGACTGTATTTTTTTCTTTAAAAGCCTCATTTCTTTTTCTGAAAACAATAGAATGATGGGCTTTACCAAAAAGCTGTAATTTTGTTTCATTTGTCCACAGCACATTCTTCCAAAAGAATTTTGGCTTTCTCAGGTAAGTTTTGGCAAACTCCAATCTGACTTTTTTATGTTTCTGTGTCAGCAGTGGGGTCCTCCTGGGTCTCCTACCATAGTGTCCCTTTTTATTCAGTGGGTTACGTATAGTGGAAGCTGACACAGTTCTACCCTGTGTCTGAAGGTCAGCTTGAATTTGTCTGGAAGTTGATAGGGGTTCTTTATCCACCATTCGAACAATCCTTTGTTGCAATCTTTGATCAATTTTTCTCTTTCGTCCACGTCCAGGGAGATTAGCTACAGTGCTATGGGCTGTAAACTGCTTGACAATGTTGCGCACAGTGGACACAGGAACATTAGATCTCTGAAGATGGACTTGAAACCTTGAGACTGTCCATGTTTTTCCACAATTCTTGTTCTCAAATCCTCAGCTCTCTCTCTTCTCCATTCTCCATGTGGCACACAGACACACACAACAGAAAGGTCCATTCAATTTTTCACCATTTTAATTGGTTGCCGGTGTAATTTCTATATTGTCAGCACCTGTTAATTGATACAAGTGAGTTTAATTACAAATTACAGGAGCATCACAAACTTGGAATGCAATTATTTCTTACAATTTTGAGTAGGTGCCAATAATTTTGTCCAGTCCATTTTTGGGGTTTTGTGTAGAATGTGTCAGATTTGGCTTTTTGTTTCTCCACTTTTCAGTGTCATAGCAATACAAATAAAAGAAATTAACCTGGGAATGCCTAAATATTTGTTTGTTAAAGCAACAATTTTCTGGGCAAAGTGGTGCATTATCTGACAGAAATGCAGGGGTGCCAATATTTTTGGTCATGACTGTACTAGCAGATATACTAAAGTCATCATTTACATTATTGAAGAATGACAGTTTTTCTGTAAACTATTGGGGAGGTGGAGTTTGGAATGGCTGAAGGTTATTTCTGTTAAAAAAAAAAGTTTTTTGTTTTTTTTTTTTGTTGCCTTAGGTAATAAAATGTTTTTGTATTTTAAAGTGTTTTTTTTTCTAAATATGGGACCTTCTTTTGGTTTTGCTGATACTCACAAACTTCTTTCATTAATTGCCCCACTTATAATTAATAAAACTTTCCTGTTGATGGAGCTAATAATGTAAGGCTCTGTTCACATCTACTCAGTTGCTTTTTCTCCGTTTTGCAGTGCTTTTCGCAGTTCATTTTTTGTTTTTCTAGATTCATTTTTGACGCGTTTTTACCACATTGTGCAATTTGTTCAGCTATTTTTTTTTTTTGTTACAGTGGAATTTTTTCTGTTGTTGGGCAGAATAAAAATGCAAAACACAAAACGTGGCAAAAACACACTACCATGCATTTGCTTCTCCATTGAACTCTATTGTATCGAAAACGCTGCTTTTAAAAAAGTCCCTGGCCCTTTCCAAAAATGCAGCAGCTCAAAAAAGCATAGATGTGATCATGTTCCATAGGAAACCATGTTAAATGGACTGTAGTGCGTTTCTGCAAAAAGAACTAAAAAATGCATTGGTGTAAACAGAGCCTAAAAGCTACCACCCAAATCTGACTTCATTGTTAAAGGGCTAGTTCATCTTTACCAAAAATCTGCCTATGGGAAAGGGTGTCTGTAGATAAAACCAAACTGTGCGGCTTTGACCAAAGTTAAATAAAGCCCTTGCTATAAGTGTAGGCCAGTTACATACCTCCAGAAGACTGATGGCAAAACTCCCAGACATGGCATTACCCCATCCTGTCTTGTTGCTAGGACATTGCTAAGACGCTCCCAGCCAATTCAAACCCCCTCACATGCACTCTATTTTCCTTGTATCTTTGAGCTTAGTGATGGAGGACATAGTGGATCACATTGTACCTGTTATGGTGGGGGTGTGCAGTAACAGCTGGGAATATCTTAGCAGCATTCTAACAATAAGGCAGGATGGTGTGGCATTTTTGGGAGTTTTTCAGTCAGGCTTCGGGAGGCATGTGAAAGGCTTACATCTATAGCAAGTGCATTATCCAACTTTATCTAAAGCTGCTCAGTTTGTTTTTTATCTACAGATGCCCCTTACATGCATATGCAGTTTTTTGGTAAACTAACCTTTTAAGGTACCTATAGACACTATATTGTGCTGTGTATGTATTGAATAGTATTGCATAGTCTTTCTGAAATATGTTGCCATTGGCTGCATGTTGTGCTTATGAAGGGACACCCGAGCATCTGATTCTGGTGGAAGAATCCAGTCATTGGCCAAAAAAAAATCCACCCTGGATCATCTTTCTGGTATTTTTAGTTCAACGTGTCTTTTGCATTCATTTGCATTGTTATAGATGTTTTAATACTTCCTGCATCAACTTAAACAAAGCTTTACTTGCCACAATACATTTGTGCTATTGTTGTATAGTTATGTAGATGAACCGCCTTATGTTGAGTGAGAAGTAATGGGTTTCTTGCTGCATAGAGTTGAGCTCCTCTGTATTGTAAATGAATAGGTACGGAGTACAAAGAGTAACGCACCAATATGTACATAGTGACTTGGGCTAACCTGGTTCACACAGCCATTCATTTGTTTAATTTTAGATCAGAAAAAGTAGGTTCAAAGTAGAACTCCCATTGGTGTGAGCTATAATGTCCGAATACCAGCAGGAA